AAAACGGTCTAAGCGCCTCCAAATCCGTTTTGAAAGGATTCTCTGACCTGTTAGGAGTGGACCACCGCTGCCGCCAATGTGATAGGTCCATTTTCGGGTCCGCAGGCACTTAATTTCTAACGTACTGATCGAACACAATTAGCGGCCATGTTGTCTTTATTACACACACACCACAACAACAACCACCCCGAGGGAGATAGTAACGAAAGTAACACATTTCGTTCTAACAGGGAGGTACACGGTTTCGGCTTTCGCTACAATAATAATAATGATTATGATAATAATAGTCATCATCATCATCGTCATAATCATAATAAACTTTATTAATGTGTCAATTCAATAGCAGTTTCCCACTGAATAAGGACACCTAACCTAAACTAATCTAATATATATAAAAGGCATAAAATTTGCAGTCCTGCCCCGTATAGGTCACCCTATATATATGTACTACCCTACCCTGTGTAATAAAAATTACCTAAAAGATATTCCGAACACCGCGACGACGACTAATTCTGAATTCTGCCAGTTTCTACCACCGAGCGTGCAACTTCTTTGACGGAGATCCCTCGGTGGCCTCCTATAATGCTGTTTTCATTTCACCAGCTGAAAGTGGCGAGTTGGAAATCAATTGATTTGTAACTCCCGAGGGACCTGCGTGCGAAGCGAAAAGTAAGGCACTGGAGTATAAAGGTAGTCCATAAAGAAAATCACGAAAGCAACGGCGACGACAACGTCACTAAACAAAAGATTTGATAAGCAGAATAATGGCGCGCACGTGCAATATATATATTTGTAATGTTCTTTGCGTCCTCTGCAAAACAACTACGTGAAATGACCAAACTTTGTTTTGTCTGGGAACGTGAACGACGACGCCTTTTTTCAACTCTCTGTTTCAAATTTAACGCTTTGTTCCATTTTAAGTTTCGTGAAAGTTTTGACAGAGAGAAACAAACAAAATGACTTTTGAGTATTGCGAGATTCGTAGGTAAAATAAAAGTTCATTCTTCTTTTTTGTTTTGCTTTTTTTTTACCGACGACTTGTCCACTGCGTCGTCGTCGTTTCCTAGGCTCCCTAACGATGCCTACAGGGGAAACGGCGCGTTGATCTAGCTTTAAGAATTGTTCAATTCATTTCTCTCACATTATTTGGTATTTTTAGCCCAGCCTGTTCTTAGAAGTCTGTTCCTAGGACCTGTTTCTCAATAATTCCTTTAGTCCCGAGTGAAGAGAGGCCGATTTTGTAAGTCGTGTTTTCATTCAAGATCGTTCTGTGAAAAACTTTGAAATTCAAAGAATATAGATCTCAGGAAGTGGAAAGGATTAGACCGAGAAATGTCTTCAATAGACTGATTTTTGAGCTTAGACCCACACCTACATATTTAGACGAAAATTTTACAGCCGGCTATAAGAGTAGAAAAAAAAGAAGGCGGAGGCTTGAGTCAGGTTGTCTGTTCGACTCTTCCCAAGCTTTTTGTAAGATCTAAGCGTTCAGTGTGGTAGTTAAATAACTTGGATATATCAACAAAGTTGAAATGGTAAATTGGCCACCGTAATGATTACAAAAGCTGACGTTTCGAGCGTTAGCCCTTCATCGGAGCGAGTAGAGGAATTGTGGGTTGTGTGTGCTTTTAAAGGCAGAAAAAGGAGCTACGTTATTGGTGGGAACATGGCAACGAGAAAAACACAAATAAAAACAGAGCTTCTTTCATCTGTAATTGAACAATTAGGAGTTTATACTTTTTAAAGGGTACTAGCGAAACACTTTCCTGTCATTTTGGAAGCATGATTTGAAGTCTTATTATCACTGCAGTCAGCCATTTGATTTGTAATGGACCGCCCGCCACTTGAACCTTACACATTTCAGGTTGTGAATGCATTTGCATCCCAAGAAAGCCCTGAATTGAGAGGAAAAAGCATTGCAAGACTTCAAGGGATAACAACATTGTGTGCTGTTTTGGAAAAATGCCTTGCAGGTTAGACAGAAATTGTACTTGTTTTTCATTATGCTCTTGAATAAGTTATTGATTTTACATTGATTAATTTTTATCAGCCACACCTACCTTTAAGCCTCCACTGGCGACCTTTGACTTTGAAGACTCACTGGTGACAAGTCCTCATTCAAATGGGAACAAGTCCAAGGCTAAGAAAGGGAAGAAGACGAATAAAGGGTAAACATTAATTACCATCTCATTTTCTTCTTTATTTTCCATCCAGATGTTGTAGACACTGAATGCAAATATGGCGTCCAATTTGAGTTGCCATTGTTCTGGAATCACTAGCCTCTCGCACATGTAATAATCCTTTTGTGTTTCCATGCGAAGATGAGGCTAGTGAGTCCAGAACAATGGCAACTCAAACTGGACGCCATATTTGCATTCGGTGTAGAGTTGTTATGAGAATCAGGAAAATGCAGCCTAAAAATTTGATTGGGATTCAGTTCAGTTCAGTCCAGTGGCTGGCTTGCATAATGTTGTTGTTTGTCATGCGCCCTTTGGCCCTTAGGAGTGACCAGGATCTAATTTCTCCTTACAATATCACCCCTAAATCACACATTAAAGTCATGAGAATAAAGCAAATGATCACCAATTAAAGAAGCTCTTGATTGGTTAACAAATTCTCCTTGTCAGCACCTTGTGTGAAAACAGAATGGAGAATTTGCATATTCATGTTATTGTGTATTTAGCATTAATTTCGTAATTTTTTTTTAGGTCTTTAACACTAGCAAAAATGCAATAATTATTTTTGTCTACTGTTAGGCCAGACATCCACACTAATTCCCATGAAAAAGTGATTTTTATTTTCAATGCACATGAACTAGCAATTCTTTCTCTGTCATTAACTATCACTTAGAGTAAATGAATTGTTATAATAATTGTTAGCTATACCTTCCTATAGATTGCACTGACAGGATCAATAAATGAATGATATGCATGGATAACAAACATAACTTATTTACTTGTTTTGCTTTTTCCAGATCACACACTGAAAAACCAGATGATTCTATAGAAAAGGTAAAGAATCCAAGTTGAAAGTGTCATATTAAGTAATCTGAGAATGCTTTCATTGGTTTTTCTTTACTTTGCTCTGTGATTGGTCCTGAAAACTCATTCTACTCTCTCAACCAATCAGATGCAAAACTGAAACCATTTACAACTTGGTCACGTGGGTTTTCCTGCATTTAGGCAGTTTGGTTGTTTCAGTCCTCATTGTTTCAGTCCTCATTCAGTCCTCATTGGCTTTCTCAAGATGTGTAATAAATTTGGTTTTGGTTTTACAACACTCAATCAAAATACGGTGGAATATTTTCCAAATGGTCAGGGTTTTGTGTTGTAGTTCAACACACAGTCGTCATCTGTCTTGTGGAGTTTTGCATGATATGGTGTTGGGTTACTGTGGTTGCAGATAAAAGATCCGGAAACAGAAAATGCCAATAACAAAGAAAGTGAGACACAAAAAGACAGCTGCAAAGATACAAAAGAAAAGGAGAAAGATAATGAAAAATCAACAACTATATCCATGTCACAGTATCAAGCATTTCTCAGGTAAAATCTGGTATTCTATAGTAGTTTAATTGCTGAATAAAGACAAAAAGCTTTCATTTAACCAAAAGATCTTTTACCTGATGTAACACCAGCCCATTTCCTATGTTAGTTTTTTTTTTTTTACTCACTTGAATGACTCAAACATTGTCCGGTGGCTGTGGGCAACTGAAAAGTGGCTTTATGAAAACTGGGGCACAGCTGAATAAAACTATGCACAGTTTGCAGCAGCATTGCTTAGTAACCAAATGATGATAATTTACATTACTGGTAATTTTTGTCCCTGATTCTCAGCTCTCCTTTAATTTCTTCTTCTTTCTTTTCAAAGGGAGTTGGATCTCAAGACATTTAGTATTTTGAAATGTGGTCTGGTCTCCCGTGAAGTTTTGGATTCTGAAATGAATACAGAGGTTTGTAGTTAGTTGTATAAAAAAAATTATTACAAGCTATAAGAATTTGAAAAGTCACATTCAGTGACATATATACAACAGAGTTCAAGTTGATCAAGGAAATCCATAAAAACATGAAATTAGCGAAGTTATATTTCAGACCTGGAAACACTGTGGTTCATGGAAAGTCCCACAAACCTCCTTTATTGATTTTTCTCATTTAATGGGTTTTGTTCTTATGGTTTTGAAATGAATGTCTTGATCACAGGAAATGGTAAATACCAAAACTTCTTGGAAAGGTCATGCTAAGTTGTGCAACTTTATGAGTTTTTAAAGTACAATCCCTAAACAAGTTTTGCTGCCTTACCAAAACCACAATGATAGAGAAACAAAGGGTCAGTCTAACTTTTGTCTGTTGGCATGTAACAACAACAACAACAACAACAACAACAACAACAATTTAACATTTATATAGCGCAAACTACTGTATAGATAATCAGTCACGCTTTTACAATCAGTTAAGGTGAGATCGGACGTCAGAATTCATCAGGCGCAATATGCAGCCACTTCAGTCCATGTATTGATCTCACCTTCCCTNGTTTGGTTGAGCAAAAGTTGATGTTTCCATTCTTTTTTAAAGCTATTGTAAGGCATGTATTTAAGATAAGTGGGTACAGTTTTCCATTTCTTTGAAGCAGAGAATATAAAAGATCAAGATAAAAACTCCTAAAGTGTTAATTCTGAATATTCTCAGTACCTGTTGGTTGGATAATGTATAGTTCGTTATAATTATGGCTACAGAGAGAAATTACAAGTTAATCACTTCTTGGATTTAATGTATAATAAAAAAAAACATGTTGAAATACATAATTATTGTTTGACAGCAGGAGACAACAATATTGCAACTCCAGGCACCTCAGCTGGAGTTTCTGTTGGAGGATCTTTCCAGAAAGCTTCAGTATTCACTCTCAGCTTCTGCATCTTCAAGGAGGAACTTTCTCAAGGTAAGTCTGGCATCAAAAAAGGTTTAAGTCTGTACTGGAGGCAAGTGGCCCATCCATTATTAACAAATGACCAGGAGTATCAATGTTCCCCCCCTGGGTGGGATGCCAATTCATGGCAGGGTTACCTCCCCCCCCCCCACCACCTTATAAAGCAAGGGCTGTTAGCATCAACTAACTGCAGCTTTGCTAATCTACAAATGGCATCTCGTCATGTCTTTCAGGTCCGTCAGGATAAACTAGTGGGTTTTTCCAACTTGTCCAGACATCCTGCAAAAGAAGTGGCCAAGTATGTTGTAGAGCTGCTGCCAGTCTTGTGTGAGCATTTAGAGGCTACCAGTGCTTTCTTCCAGGTAAACATTTTTACAGCTCACCTGTATGATAACATTCTGACCACTTGTCCTCAGCGCTGAAGATAGTGCTGAAATTATTGAATGAAAGTGTTAACTTAAGGATAAGAGAGAAGATAAATTGGATCTTGTGTTCCTAAAGCTTCTTCACCCAAGTATTGAGTGATACTATTGGTCAACTTGTTATCTCAGTGTTGGTTGATATAATTATTAGCTGATACTCATTTAACATGTTGACCCATACTTTGTTGTTATTGATTTCTGTTACTTTTAACTGGCAGGCTTTAGTTGCCCAAAATGACGGCTTGATGGATGGTCCAGGCTATAACACTGATGAAGCACATGTGATGGCTTCATGTTATCACCTCCTTTTCAACTGTCTGCAGACTCTCTTTGCATGGTTTGTATCACCACAAATTGTGATTGTTTTGTTTGCTCCAGCACATTCATTTTTAGAGCATAATAATTTTTGGGTTGTCTTCTATGCTAATTTCTGGAACTTGTTATCATGTCGAAAGTCTATGCCGACTCTGGTTTTTGAGTATGCCTTCTACTGCTTATGTCATTATTAAAAGGCAATTTTTGAGCCTTATGAAATTTCTGCCCAGGAATAAACAATTGTAGGGCTTTGATGTCTTGTATATACAGCTGTAGAACTAGAGTAAAGACTAGATCAATAATTTAAGTTTATTTTTGCTTAACATACCTTTCAGGAGTGGTTTTGTGACCAGTGAACATCAAAACCTTTTCAAAAAAGCTCTTTTTGTGCTTTCCTCAAGAATTAAGCTCTCCAGCAAGTCTCAGCCAGGATTTCAAGCACTTCTTGAGTGAGCTCCTTTGTTATTACATACATGTTTTGGTTTTCCATTGAAAAGTTTGTTGCTCTTTGTTTTGGTTATTGTCATATCACAGTGACTTCATTTGTACCTACAGACAAAGCTTCCACTACCTTGAGCAGTTCCAAAGGAGTATTCCAAACATTACAACAGCTGTTAGCCTTACCAAGTTATTAGTAGTTTTGTGTGAAAGGGGAAGAGATGTCAACAATGGCATGAGCATTTCTCTAGGTAATGCAACTTTTATGATTTTTTTTAAATTTTCTGAATTTGAATTTATTTTGAATTTTGAAATTTTTTAATTTTGAATTTTGAATTTTGAATTCTGAATTTGAATTTTCCGAATTTGAATCTTTTTTTAATTTTTTTTTAATTTTTAATTTTTTTTTCAAGCTACAGTAGTTACCTTACTTTCATTTGCTTCTGGAACAATCGGGTCTCCTTAATCCTTTACATTTTAACATCAGTTTACATATTCTCCATACTTTTTTTTGTTTATTTTTTAAGGTGCGAAAAGGGAGAATTTGTGTAATAATCAAGTGCTTTTTTTAAGTTGGGGATTATTTCCTTTACTCTCATGACCCTAAGGTTTGATTCTGAAATATAAGGTGAAATTATCTAAGGGCGTTCAAGGGTTAATAAAACACATTTTTATTACTAATTTATTCGTGTTTTTCTCGTTGCTATGTTCCCACCAATAACGTAGCTCCATTTTCTGCCTTTAAAAGCACACACAACCCACAATTCCTCTATTCGCTCCGACAAAGGGCTAACACTCGAAACGTCGGCTTTTGTAATCATAACGGTGGCCAATTTACCATTTCAACTTTGTTGATATATCCAAATTATTTCGTTACCCCCACCGACGCAGCCCCAAACAGTTTCTTTAGAAACTATCAGCCTTTATTCTATTATATGTAC